ATAGGAACAAGTAGTAAACCACATAGCATGACATACGACTTTCCATGTTATAGCTCGTCCCACTGTTACAAAGGTCTAACATTCCATTCATTATTAAACATCATTCATAGAAGAAAAATTCACCTTCCAAGACAAAATACATAGTTCTTTCAAGTCTTATTCTTTCGGAATGTTAACAAGTTCTTAAATATCCTCCGGTGACATCAACAAAATAAACATTGATCCCTTCCCTTAAGAGAAGTTTTGAATCCCATAGCCGGCACTGGCTCCATACTACTAGCCTGGTCAGAAATCTCACACAGATTCCCAACCGCCACAACTTTGTCAGCACTATTCCATCATAACATGGTTTGTTGTCAATCGGTCTATTCCTAGAATTAAATCTAACTGGAATAACAACAAGCAGATTGAATCTAAGGTAAATATCACACCATTTACCACAACCGGACACTAAAACATGAACGTCTACACCACTACCAGCACACAAGTTGGGGTGGACACGACCAAGTCGGAAGTAATGACTCAGTTTGCAATTTCAGTCGGTTTTCACATTTAACACATATAAGGGAGTGTGTCGCTCCCGAATCAACAACACTAAACAAGGAATACCTGTCACCATGCGTTTACCTTGGATCAAACCGTCAACACCGGACGTACCTGTACCACTAACGGTGCTCACTTGGCCCATTGTACTAGGCCTCCCAACCTCCACAACATTTACATTCCGAGTCAACTTTGGACAAAACCTTTTTATATGTCCCTTTTCCTTACAGTGGAAACAACCATTCCCCGAACCCGGACAAATTGTTCCTGCATGATTCCGCCCGCATTTTCCGCACATAGGAAATACTTCAGGTTGAAATCCTCCAACAGTAGGCTTCGACCCTTGATAACCATGGTTACGATGGACACCAGTTGGGGCATATGATCATTGGTCTTCATTCCCCTTCTCCTCATACATTCCACATTGTGTCAGACCATCCACTTCCGATGCCTCTACCGCACATGGTGACCACTCTACCGATAGATTGAGGTCGTCCAACCCCCATATCTTTCATACTATGCCATGACTTAGGACACCACCTCTTGATATGTCGGGTCACTTTGCAGTAAAAGCAGCGATTTGTCGTTCCAGGACACAATTCTCCGACATGACTCCGGTTACACTTGCTGCACCAGGATGGAGAGTTTAACCGTGACCCTCCGGCATTTGCATGGGTCCTCGGCCCATGCGAAGTGTATCCCCGATTACCAAAAAGTGGAAAATAAGGCTTTCGTTCTTCGCGAAACATCTTATCCTTGCCTCTTCCGTGCACAAAGTTTCTTTGAGGCCCGAAGTCCTTGGGAGGAATGGATTTGGAGGTCGCCACTCCATCCGCCTTCATGTTAGTACCCTCCATTCCTTGGACCCACTCAATAGCAGCATTCGGAGCGAATCCACTTTGTTATTGAGAGCCTGAACCTGTCGCCACGCTCCAATTCAGATTTTGTAAATTCTCATTCATGCTCTGAAGTACCACTACCAGCTGTGCCAACAGGTTAGTGGGGACATTCTGACTCGTTCCTCTTCCTTTGTCAGCCATGTGTACCTATACTCATTCACTTGTTAGAAATCGAATTTTCATCCAGATCAAGATCACATAATCACTTGGCAACTTGTACACACTAAACAATTCAAGCACATAAAGTTCACAAAGAAGCATGTAAGGCCATATCCTAGGCCGCATAATTAACTATGCTCTGATACCATATTGTAAGGACCCAAATTCTTCCCTTGAAATTTTTTTCTTATTTTATTCATCCTTCATACATTTTCCTACGACTTTTAAATAAACATACCAACCACTTGAGTTAAGTCTCATTTCCCTAATCATACCCATTTCATAATCTCTAAATATCATACATATTCGCATAGCAGAAAATCATAATTCATTCATGCATCCCGGTAACTACCGCATACAATTAGCTATGCGATTACAAAATACCCATAGCTACAAATATCCAGAATTACAAATATTAATGTTCAAAATACAGTTAGTCGTATTACAAAAGAATGAATAAATGGACTTCCAAAAATTAAAAGCCTCTAAGCTCCTATCAATCGTCTTTACATCTTCCACCTACTTGCAATGGGATTAACATTGACCATACCCAGAAAACACAAAGGAGTAAGTCGTTAACGTAAAATAATGTCAATATACGTTAATCCACATTTTAATAAGGTTATGTAAAAACTTAGAGTTAAATATACTTAAAACCATTTCCTTCGTTTACACTTTTGAAAACAAGCTGCATAGCTTGAGCCAAAGTTTGCTACATTGCTTGAGCCAAAGCTTGCTACATTGCTTGAGCCAAAGCTTGCTACATTGCTTGAGCCAAAGCTTGCTACATTGCTTGAGCCAATGCTTGCTACATTGCTTGAGCCAAAGCTTGCTACATTACTTGAGCCAAAGTCGCTAACCAATCATGTTCGGCTAAAAACAAGTTTTATTTTCATTGGCACTCCACCAATACACAAACAGTGAATCCACACCATCACCATTACAAACATACCCATATATGCTTATAACAATTAAGTGATTCACAATTCATTTTGTTATTCCGAGTTTTATTTCCATTGGCACTCCACCAATACATAAACAGTAAATCGACACCATCATCATTACAAACATACCCATATATGCTTATAACAATTAAGTGATTCAAAATTCATTTCATTATCCATAACCAGAAAAATCCACGCATTTTCCATCATAGTGCATAAGTTAAAGACTTATCCTTACCTCGGTGAGTGTTGGGGTCGGTTTTTGAGTAGTTTACTAGTTTCCTCCACGTTCTCCTCAAACCATAGAATCTTTCCTCATCCCCACCAATAACAACAATGTCAGTAATTTATTCAAAATAACCCATAAACGACTCATATTTCATCGTCAAACACACAAGAGTTTCATACATGTTCAATGTTTCTAAAACTACTTCACATTGTATTCAACATTAGAGTACATACTCATAACACAATCATTTGCATATATGTTCATCATAATAACATTCACCTCTTATAACAAATCAACAACTCATAACACATCTTCATTATAAACAAACCACACACACCACATTCTTCACAATATAACATTTAACACATTTTCTCTTAGGACCACATTTTCCTTTCGGGGGTTTTGGGGTTTTCATAAACCAACTCACAAACCCTTTCCATTCTTTCAATTTTAACTGTAAACCAATAGTGTACAAGAGAGAAACTAAATAAAACGAATTACAACTCAAACGGAAGAGTTTCCATGGTTTCTCATCCTTTTGAGAAGAGATCCATACCCCAAAACAAGTTGGAAAGGAAGAAGAAGAGTTAGAAACATGAGGTTTACCTCTTCTCAAGCTCTAAGATGATCCTAAAGCTCTTCGCTCTTGAAAAGCTCTCCTCTCTTTCTTCTCTTCAAAGTTCTAAACCTAAAATGTGTTTGGGGTTTCTATTTTAAAGTGAACTCGTCGGGTTCTCGCTCAAGCGAGCCCATTCTCGCTCAAGCGAGAAAATCCCGCCCATTTTAAAACTCAGATCTGATCCTCTCGCTCAAGCAAGAATCCTTTCGCTCAACCGAGGATCTTACAGCCTCGACAGGTCCTAAATGCCACTTTTCTCGCCCAGGCGAGAAAACTCTCGCTCAGGCGAGACCACTCTCGCTCAGGCGAGAAAACACTCGCTCAAGCGAGAATCCTTCAGTATAGCCCAGGATTTCACCCTCCCCGGTCAGCCTTTCTCGCCCACGCGACGATTGTCTCGCTCAAGCGAGACTCCTAGGACTGATATTGTAATTTAATGACTTTAATATCTAGGATGTTACAAGTATTACTTATATGTTATGATAGAATTCTTCATCTAACCTTATTAGATATGGATTATCATATGATTATGTTTGAATTGATGACTTACTCCTTTGTGTTTTCTATGTATTTGGTTTATGATAATCCCATTGCAGGTAAACGGATGATTTGAGGAAACTAGATTAGAAGCACTAGGAGCTTTTAAAGCTTGATTCTTTTATTATCTCTATTGTACCATCACTGACTGAATGCTGATTTGAATATATGTAACTGTGGCTATTATAATTCTAGATATTTGTAACCTTGGGTATTATGATTTTGAGAACCCATAACTATTGGTATGTCTTAAGTATTGGGGGACATTAATATGAATTATGTTTTTCTGCATAATGAATGTATGTATGAACATTGCTTGTAAAAATGATCATGAATTATAAAGGATGATTAATGTAAAGTCATTGGGTTATAATTATAAGTCATAAGGAAAACTATATGGGTGAATGAATTAAAATAAGGAAAACAAATTTCAATGGTATAATTTGGGTCCTTACATATATGTTTCCACAAATAATTGAAACTCAATTTCTTGATATGTATCTGCAGTTTTTGGAAACTTATAAAGTTCTTCTGTTAAGCCCTGATCAATGAACCTAAAAAACCCTTCTATTTGTATCTAATTAGTAGCCATTTCCTCGTTCCCACCCCAAAGTATTTTTAATTTCCTCATTTATTTTATAGAAAATATCCCATGATTTGTTGTCATTCTTCATCGAATTGATTGAATAGATTTAGCAATAATGGAATTTCTATTTTTTTACTGAATTACATAAAATATTAATTAACTCCATGTATTAAATCCTATTATTAAAAAAGGAATAAATAGAATTTTATACTCAGGAAGAAATTTATTCCCTTTCTTCCATTATTATGATATTACAAATTCTAGTTCGATCGGATAACATAAAAAATAAAAACTAAAAAATGAAGCACGATAATTTCGTGAAAATTCCTTACCCTATAGCTATTTGATATGGATAAGATATCTGATTAGATAATAGATGAGTAAAAAAATTCAATTTTAATGTTTACATATACTCATAGTTGTTGTTATAATTGAAATGGGGGATAATTTTTTTTGTAGGGTATATTCTCAGATATATTTTTTGTATCGTTTTGGCGAAATGGCCGAGCGGTAAGGTGGAGGACTGCAAATCCATGTTCCCCAGTTCAAATTCGGGTGTCGCCTGATCAACAAGAGAATTTAAATTGTTTATTCCGTAAATGATAGTTAAGGGATCAAAGTGGATCAAAGTGGGGAAGAAGTGGACTCTAACGGTACTACAAATTGAGTTAAGGGATCAAAGTGTATCAATTATTTTATAACTAGGTTCTGAAAATTTTTTAATTTCTGAATTAAAAAGTATATAATTAAATACTTAATAAAATTAAAATATATCTACATTTTTTAATTCTATTGTATTCTCTAGTGTGTATTCTTTGGAGAATATAGAAATACAAAAGACTCGTTAAATCAAACAAATATTTGAATTACTCCCATGTTTGTATGTTGAAAGGCAAAAGAATACAAATAATAGGAAATTAAATTTTATTCCTTCAGAGTTATTCCTCAAATTTATATTTCGGTCAAAAGAAAAGAGGATAATTACATGAGTTTCAAACTTCAACTTGGATTATTATTACTAACGAAGAATTTCATTCCCTTTTTATAGTTTTATCTTTTCTCCTACCTTCAGAAGAATAAAGCATCGGCATTAACACTCTGATTATAATTTTATCAAAGGTAACTATATCGATTTAATATATGATTTATAAAAATATATGATATATCAATTGCTATAGAATCTTTAAGCAAGTTTTTTCTTTCTTATCAAGAAAAAACTTACTATCTTGGGGATCTGATACTACACCGCTGCTCAAAACCCTAGGGGATCTACTTTATTACATAAGTAGATTCCTAACTTTTCTATCATGATATAAGTAAGCAGTTCTTATTTTATTGGTCCAAAACCTCGCTAATGCATCTTTACGGTGCTTCCTCTATCAATTAGATCTTTATCCATAGAAAAAAGTATCTAGGCATATATATTTCTTCATATTTCGACTTCTATGAAGTATTTTTCTTCCCTACAACTGATAAAAATCGTTGTCGTTGTTTTGTACGGTATATATATATGTAGAAAGCCTATTTTTTCATATTTCTTAGAGGATTTGGTTGCTTTTTTCTTTCTATAGTGGAGATAGTCGCACGTAATGACAGATCACGGCCATATTATTAAAAGCTTGGGGTAAGAAGGGGTTTCGTTCGAGTGCCCTAAAATAATATTCCAAAGCTTTCGTATGTTCTCCGTTACTTGTGTGGATAAGGCCTATGTTATAAAGTATACAACTTCGATCATAGGTGTAACGACCCAATTTATTCTCGCGGAAATTATTCAATTTTCTAAAACATACTTTCTCAAACTATAATTTTCTGAAATTATATAAAATAATTCCCCAACATTTCCTTCAATGATTAATCATTTAATATAGTTCAACACTGTATATTGGTAAATAGCTACGCAAAATTCATCTTATCCACATGGATGAGATTCAATAAAAAAAAGGGGTTTATCCATACATTCTAACCCACATGAAAAACAGTCAATGAAGTCAATGAACTTAATGTCAACATGACAAACTCCCACGTATGGGACTAATGTCAATAAATAACTAAACAAAGTACAAAACAGACGGCTACACAAATAATCCACGCAACGCTAGGTGACTCCAAAACTCTGAAATCTCTTATTCCATCGCTTCACGTACAATCCCATTATCATGGATTAAGCAACAAGGAAAAATAGAGAGAGTCATTCATTAATTTACGCAATAAATGACATTGTGGATTTAAATATAATAATAGACATTAGAATTCACAAAACAACATACGGTTATTCCTCAAATTATCATTCCATCCATATTTCAACCAAAATCTACATACTCATCCAAACTAAACCGACATAAATGTTTCTACAAGTACTAAGCCACTTAAGGCCATCAATACCACAAGGGCAAATCCAACTCCATACCACGTAGGCAGGTCAAATCCATACCACGAAGGCAGGTCAAATCCATACCACAAAGGCAGGTTAAATCCATACCACGAAGGCAGGTCAAATCCAAACCACGAAGGCATGTCAAATCCATACCACGAATGCAGGTCAAATCCATACAATGAAGGCAAGTCAAATCCATACCACGAAGGCATGTCAAATGTCATAGTCACAACATTACCAATAACATAGGATAGGACTAACATGATTAAATAGGAAATCTCTTTATTTTTCCCGTTTAACCATTTCAGTTTACGAAATCTTCCAACTAGTGAGTATCGTTGGTATTATCTATTACCAAAAGGTATAATGATGCTCTCTCACTTGAATGTTTGCTAGTGTTTCACACTAAGTAGCTTTGTGAAGCTCTCCGTTGTCTCCTCTGTAACGACCCGGTTTTCTACCCTTGAAATTTTTTCTCATTTTAATTCAATTCCATTCAATCACTCATAACTCAATTTACAATTTTAATATCCTTACTTCAAAATCTTGTTTCCTCCTCACACTCAATCCATGAATCAATAACCACATGCATAATCATTTTACCTAGAACTTCTCATGAATCATTCCTGGAACTAATCTTATAACCTATTATATTATCATACAATTAATCTTGTAGAAAAACATAATTCATTCATATCATTCCCTATGAGTACTAAGACCTCAAAGGTTCTGATCCTCCAAAATAACATTACGCATGGTTACAAATATCCAAATAATGGTTAGTCATGATTACAATCATTTAAATCCGCAGGTAATCATTTAGAATACGAAAAACATAAATAGTGAATCCAAAGTCTAAAGCTCCTAAAGCTCCCGACCTGGCATACTTCATTCGTCTATTTACCTGCAATGGGATTATCAATGACAAAAGTACAAAACACATAAAGGAGTAAGTCATTAATTCAATAAACGTCATTATAAGATAATCCACATTATAACAATGAGTTAATAAACCATTTGTTTTATAAATTCATTTTGTGCTACATTACTTGAGCCAAAGTTTTGCTACATAGCTTGAGCCAAAGAGTTGCTACATAACTTGAGCCAAAGTATTGCTACATAACTTGAGCCAAAGTTTTGCTACATAGCTTGAGCCAAAGCATTGCTACATAACTTGAGCCAAAGTGTTGCTACATAACTTGAGCCAAAGTGTTGCTACATAACTTGAGCCAAAGTGTTGCTACATAGCTTGAGCCAAAGCATTGCTACATAGCTTGAGCCAAAGCATTGCTACATAACTTGAGCCAAAGCATTGCTACATAGCTTGAGCCAAAGCATTGCTACATAACTTGAGCCAAAGCATTGCTTCATAACTTGAGCCAAAGTGTTGCTACATAGCTTGAGCCAAAGCATTGCTACATAACTTGAGCCAAAGTGTTGCTACATAACTTGAGCCAAAGTGTTGCTACATAGCTTGAGCCAAAGCATTGCTACATATAACTTGAGCCAAAGATTTGCTTCATAACTTGAGCCAAAGTTTTGCTACATAACTTGAGCCAAAGTGTTGCTACATAACTTGAGCCAAAGTGTTGCTACATAGCTTGAGCCAAAGCATTGCTACATAACTTGAGCCAAAGTATTGCTTCATAACTTGAGCCAAAGTATTGCTACATAACTTGAGCCAAAGTTTTGCTAACCAATAATGGTCGGCTAAAATCATATTTTCTTTTCATTGATACAACATAAATCCGTAAACAGTAAATCCACGCATACCATTATCATAGACACACCCATATATGTTTACCATAACTAAGCGATTCATCACTTTATCGTACTCACACTCAGAAAATACACACATTATCCATTACCATATACCATTTAAAGACTCCTCCTTACCTTGATGAGTATTGGGGTTCGGTTCTTGGCAACTTCTCGAATTCTACCAACACCACCTCCAACCTTAGGATCTCTCTCTTCACAAGCTCTAAAATGAGTCCTAAGGCTCCTTGCACTTGAAAAGCTCCCTTCTCTCTATTCTCTTCAAGTTCTAACCCTAAAATGTGTTTGGGGTTTCTATTTTTAAAGAGCAGTCGTCGGGTTCTCGCTCAAGCGAGCCCATTCTCGCTCAGGCGAGAATCTCACAGTAGCAATTTTCGCTTAACGCATAGATGTAATCGATTACATGGATTGTGTAATCGATTACATCGTGTAAAATGCACATATCTGATGCTTTTATCTGCATGTAATTGATTACATGTATTGTGTAATCGATTACATCATGTAAAATGCAGATATCTGATGCTTTTATCTGCATGTAATCGATTACATGTATTGTGTAATCGATTACATGTATTGTGTAATCGATTACATCATGTAAAATGCACATATCTGATGCTTTTATCTGCATGTAATCGATTACATGTATTGTGTAATCGATTACATCATGTAAAATACACATATCTGATGCTTTTTATCTGCATGTAATCGATTACATGGACTGTGTAATCGATTACACTGCCCAAAATTGCCATTTCTCGCTCGGGTGATACAACTCTCGCTCAGGCGAGAATCCTCCAGTATAGCCTAAGATTTCACCCTCCCAGATGCACCTCTCTCGCTCAAGCGAGAATCTCTGGATCAAGCGAGGCTTCCAGAACTGATACTCTAATTTTTAAAGACTAAAATTCGGGGTGTTACATCCTCCAACCTCAGGGTCTTTCGATACCTAAAACAACAACAACCACAACATATCAATCTTTCATGTTCAAAACAACCACAAATGTTATACATTATTCAAAATTACTGAAGGAAACAAGTCTAACACTACCCATTTCACTTTACTGTCAAAAAGGTGTTCAGCACATATCCAACAACCCAAGGGTTTTGAAAACAACATTACGCACATACCATTTTCGAAAACAACTCATAAAACATGAGTTTCACAAGGTTTTCAAGACTAAAACGAACCAAAACCCCCAAAGAGGGTTTATGGGGTTTTACCCCAACCATGGAGAAGAGACCCATCTCTAATACGCATGATTACAAAATAATAAGGGAAGATAAGCTAAGTGATTTACCTCCTCTCAAGCCTTCTCTTCGACTCTAAGAGCTCATAATTCACCTAGCCGCTTCTATTTTAGGTTTCAGATTATCGGGTTCTCGCTCGGGCGAGAATGGCTCGCTTGGGCGAGAA